ATAATATATTGTGATAGTGTGTTTAAATAAAATTAGGGCGAACGGACTATCAGGTCGAACAAACCTAGGGCGAGCATGTAATCAGGGAGAACGGACCTAGGGCGAGCATGTTGCGAACAGACCCGATCCCCCTTCACGTTAAACTCCTCTCCAGGGTTTATGTACTATTAAGAATGCAGTGATGTGATATTTTCCACTGAAAAAGCAAGCATAGCATGTAGTACGAATTCATATCATTATGTCAGACCAGAGACAGATTAAGGCCTTCCCCTCCCCCCTTTTCCCCCGTTCATAAATCAAATGTAACATATATACATATATCCTAAATAAAAATAGGGCGAACGGACTATCAGGGCAAACAAACCTAGGGTGAGCATGTAATCAGGGAGAACCGACCTAGGGCGAGCATGTTGCGAACAGACCCGACCCCCCCCCCCCCTATTTTTTCTGGGAAAATTTTTGTTGTAATATGCTGTACATCTTCTTCAGTTCTGACTAGACTAGCAGGGTCGGATACAGCTATTTTTGAAAAGAGGAACCTTTCCCAGGATAAAGGACAGGGTCAGTTCCAACTAAATATCCCCATTCAAATGCATTGATCGTCACATGTCAATAAAAAAAGGGGGTTTTCAACATCCGGAATCCCCTGCCCCCCTGGATACGCCATTGACTAGAGTCTTAATGTGTACAAACCTGACGTCAAATTATGTACTATAGAAGAAACAAAAAATATCACATTACATCCAATTGATGATTATTAATCTCAAATTATATTACGATGTCAATGAAAGAAGTTCCCGCGTAAATGTCATGTGTTAAACGGGATACACTAAAAAGAATTTTAGGTGTATGTTAGCATTCGCATTCCGATCAATTTACACAGTTCAATTAAATATGTATGTTAACTATATTTATATTGGATTTGAATTTAGATACTTTATCAGAGAAATGATTTGTTTCTCGCAGACAACGCTAAATAATATACATTAACTCGACATTAAATCTGAACACCCCTAAAACAAAATGGTATATGCAATCGACCAAACATATTTTCCTAATATTGATAAAGGTGAAATACGTAGAATAAGAATTGTGCACACTGAAATAAGATCAGAGATAAAGCCCTATGTAAAGTGAAAACCAAATAAAAACGTGATATATAAAATCATTGTTTTTTAAATTTTCTTGCATAATAACCTTGAAGTTGAAACTAAAAACTATTACGTGTATCCTGTCAACCCAAGAAAAAAATAATACTGTCTCCTTGACTACTTCCGCGCGCCACGGACTTGGAAAATGATATATTGTGATAGTGTATGTTAAATATTTTACCGTAAACACTTTTATCATTCAAAATGACGTGTGAAAACTTACCACTTTGGCAGTCAGCACCGGTATGTACGACCCCCCCCCCCAAATAAAAATAAACGATCGTCTCTCTGCCGGTTTCATTTGATTTGTTCCAACTAAAACAATGCAAACTTTCAACACACAAACATATTGTATTATAAGACATTTGGCAGAGACTTAAGTTAAACTTATAAAATAAATATTTCGTTCGTTTTGTGCTATTTCGTTTCGTTTCGTTTTGTTTTGTTTTGTTCCGTTCCGTTTCTATTTCGTTTCGTTTCGTTTTGTTTTGTTTTGTTCCGTTCCGTTTCTATTTCGTTTCACACTTTACAGGTACCCTGTCAGCAGTGTCAGCAACAGGGAAAATACATAGGACTGTCAATACAAATCATATATAAGTAACCGTGAGAAAAATATGTTACACTATTTACAATAGGTTGTGAACACTGTATGCAATGTTCATATTGAAAATGTGAAGCAAGAAAAAAAAATTGGACAATTTACAGTTTTTGTTGTAATATGCTGTACATCTTCTTCAGTTCTGACTAGACTAGCAGGGTCGGATACAGCTATTTTTGAAAAGAGGAACCTTTCCCAGGATAAAGGACAGGGTCAGTTCCAACTAAATATCCCCATTCAAATGCATTGATCGTCACATGTCAATAAAAAAAGGGGGTTTTCAACATCCGGAATCCCCTGCCCCCCTGGATACGCCATTGACTAGAGTCTTAATGTGTACAAACCTGACGTCAAATTATGTACTATAGAAGAAACAAAAAATATCACATTACATCCAATTGATGATTATTAATCTCAAATTATATTACGATGTCAATGAAAGAAGTTCCCGCGTAAATGTCATGTGTTAAACGGGATACACTAAAAAGAATTTTAGGTGTATGTTAGCATTCGCATTCCGATCAATTTACACAGTTCAATTAAATATGTATGTTAACTATATTTATATTGGATTTGAATTTAGATACTTTATCAGAGAAATGATTTGTTTCTCGCAGACAACGCTAAATAATATACATTAACTCGACATTAAATCTGAACACCCCTAAAACAAAATGGTATATGCAATCGACCAAACATATTTTCCTAATATTGATAAAGGTGAAATACGTAGAATAAGAATTGTGCACACTGAAATAAGATCAGAGATAAAGCCCTATGTAAAGTGAAAACCAAATAAAAACGTGATATATAAAATCATTGTTTTTTAAATTTTCTTGCATAATAACCTTGAAGTTGAAACTAAAAACTATTACGTGTATCCTGTCAACCCAAGAAAAAAATAATACTGTCTCCTTGACTACTTCCGCGCGCCACGGACTTGGAAAATGATATATTGTGATAGTGTATGTTAAATATTTTACCGTAAACACTTTTATCATTCAAAATGACGTGTGAAAACTTACCACTTTGGCAGTCAGCACCGGTATGTACGACCCCCCCCCCCCCCCCCCCCAAATAAAAATAAACGATCGTCTCTCTGCCGGTTTCATTTGATTTGTTCCAACTAAAACAATGCAAACTTTCAACACACAAACATATTGTATTATAAGACATTTGGCAGAGACTTAAGTTAAACTTATAAAATAAATATTTCGTTCGTTTTGTGCTATTTCGTTTCGTTTCGTTTTGTTTTGTTTTGTTCCGTTCCGTTTCTATTTCGTTTCGTTTCGTTTTGTTTTGTTTTGTTTTGTTCCGTTCCGTTTCTATTTCGTTTCACACTTTACAGGTACCCTGTCAGCAGTGTCAGCAACAGGGAAAATACATAGGACTGTCAATACAAATCATATATAAGTAACCGTGAGAAAAATATGTTACACTATTTACAATAGGTTGTGAACACTGTATGCAATGTTCATATTGAAAATGTGAAGCAAGAAAAAAAAAATTGGACAATTTACAGTTAGAATTAACATTTTGATATGGACTGTAGGCTTTAGTTGCTTTTAAATCCACAGTACACCTGTATAGCTTATATTTCGTTTAAACATCCAATATGATACGACAGCAATAATAAATTATTTTAGGATTGTTTTACTTTATGTATTTTTACATATTTAGCAAAAGGTAAGAACCTCCTTGGTGTTGGCGCTGCTTTTCTTGTTCTCTATAAAGAATTTCAAATGGGTTTCGGTTATTTTTTGTTTCTGCTTAATTCGGGTTCTTGTCTTTTGTGATTTCTATCCTTTGTACTAGAAAAAATTCACATTCTGTTTAGTTTTTAAGTTTTAAGGTTAGAAAATATCATGGCTGAAGATTTATGAATTGGATGATATCTTTGGTTAGATAAAATTCATTTACCAATATGTTATTATGTGATGCCTAATCACTTGATATGACTCATCAATGAATTTTATTAGGACATCTTGTGGAGAAGGAACTGCAGTTCCTTCTAGTACACGTGAGTTCACCCCGGTTTTGGTGGGGTTCTTGTTGCTTTATCTTTAGTTTTTCTGTGTAGTATTTTGTGTACTGTTATGTATCTTTCAGTCGTTTTCGTATTTGGCAATAGGCTGATTTTTTTCTAAAAACTTTAAAAAGATATATAACGTGGACTTTGTAAGAAAGACACTGTAAGTGTTCATTTTTTATTCAAATACATTTATGATTTTTTTCGTTATCTGAGGAGTTCATCCTAAAAAGTCCATGTTCTGAATTTTAATAGAAAATAAGGTAAAGAAATAATTTTTGTAGGAGAAGGCATGCGCAACATACTGCACTAACTATGGATTCTTTTTTCATGTAAATTAATTCCTGGCACTTAATTTCTAATTAAATTTTGAACATGAACTTTCTTATGATACTTTAAAACATTTCAGGTAAATTTATATTTTTATTTTAGTTTTTGAACTTTCAAATGTTTTGGCCTCGAGCATTACTGGAGAGACATCAATTCGCCTCTTTAGAATCTAAAGGACTATGTATAATCTCATTGTTCGTACAACAAAATTAAAATAACGTTACTTCATTGGTTACATTTTCATTTTTAGTACGGTTTAAACCAATCACAACAGTTTGGTGTACGTTTTTGAAAATATTACCCAGAATGCATTAGATTCTGAAACGGCGAGTTGTCTAAATGCACATCTAGTGCAGTGAAAGCGGTACCGATAATGGTAGTACAATGGACGAACTACATGACGTAATTCGATTTCAGTGGAGGTAACCAAACCATTTACCAAATAAGAACTTCAATCACGGATATATGTACTTAAGTAGTTAAATATTAAATAATCTAAATATTGAGGAAGATCTGTAAATTATATATATTTGTTTTTAAAATTTAAACTCTGTCGACAATGAATCGTTTCATTTAGTTATCAGCGTAACCACCTTTTGTACATATCAAATCATGGTTTTAAAACTCAATTCAACGTAGGGTTCTGGTACCAGTTATGAAATATATATATTTCAAGCTACATCATTAGAAAAATGGGGTGAAAAGGTACAGCTTTCTATTGTCAATCTACGTCATTAAATGACATATATATGATTTAAATAAATTTGAAATTCGCAGAAAAACAATGCGGAAAGAAAATCTAAAAATGAAAAGTATAGAGAATAAATGGCAGAAAAAGGAAATCCTTATCCACGTTGAACTATAGAATGCATAGTTCATAGGAGTTATATTGCGGATTTCATGCAGACATATGCACTTGACAATGGAGCTACATTTCCACCTTCATGTCTGTTTTGACGGGTCCGTCTATTGAATATTTTCGAACAAAACAGAATAAAACGCACACCACAAGTATTAAATGAACTTACACCATCGGCAACCAAGAGCTCTATCTAAAGAATTATGGACTTTTGTTTAAAAAAAGCTTGTTTGTAGAAGTCAAACACTTAAGAAATGTAATCTTCCAATACATTCAGCACTTATAACATTCAAACAGAGTTGCTGTATGATTTGGAACTCAATCCTATTTAATCATTTGATTTTATTTAAAGCTTTTAATTCGGAACAAAACATGGGAATCTTAACAGAAAAAAGATAAAAATCAAAACAGCAATATACATTTTTTAGTCATGAACCCTCCATCCTTTTGATCTCGACAAGAAGAACTTAAAGAAAAGATAAGATAAGAAATAGCACTTAGCACATATAATATAAGTATGACAATAAAAAAACTTGTGACTAGCAGCTTCTATTCTACCTTTACAGCAGTATTTTTGTTCATGAATCGCCATGCTTTTATTGTTACTGAATATTAAATGCGATATGAATAGTCGTTATTTATTTGAGTTTATATGATTATACTTATATAATTATGTTGCTACTTTATTGAACATCCCAATTATCTGAAACTTTGTGGACGCAAACAAATTTTTAAAAGAGAAACCATAATGCAAAAGTACCATGAGTAATATAGGACGTAATAATTGTTTTCCTTACATATTCCACATTTTTAGTAAATGATTTTTTCCTTATTGCTTATTTGTAATTTTTTGACGGAAATTATTAACATTAACACTTATAAGTTACTTACATCATGGAAAACAATTTCAAAATGATGATCATTCTTTTCTCAATAGAAGGTGAGCTTTTATTATATCATATTATTGGTTTGAAAAAGTATATGCACACTTTTATTAACGTCACATTTCAAAGGGGGAAAATCAAACTGAGAAAAACGTATGACCAGGTTTCTTAAGATAGAAAATTTTCATAAATTTTGGTATGATGATTCTTTTTTTCTTATGGAAGATTGAAAAAGAGTGACTGCATGTGGACAAAGTTAAATAATATACCATATAAGGTAAGGATTTTAAAAAGTCGATATCGACAAAATATTTGAAAAGATGTACTGATACTACTCATTTATTTAGTACTATGCTATATAATGAATAAATGCTTTAAAGAACAGTTTTCATTATATAAGTATTCAAGATACGTAAATAAATAAACATCTTTAAAATTGTTTCCTTATCTAATAAACAGAAACTGACAACTTTCGTTATCTTTCTTTAATTCTTAATAGAATTTTTTTTACTGTGAAGAACCATTTAAAATTTCATCATACTTTGTCGTTTCTTCATTAACTTAACCCTTTAAAAGGTGTCTTAAATTGCTATGTAAGGTAGAGGAATTTTATTTGAAAACTATGTAAGGGTTGAGTCATACTCTTAAAATGTAGGTCAACAATGCATATAATTCTGTTGTAGTTACATGGTTTTTTGTGCAATATTTTCTTTGTATACTTTTTAAAATAATAACAGATTGAGAGTGTCTTTTCGGTACACATTCAAATGGACGCCTACAGACAACCGCTTATGCTTTCTTCTTTAAACAATTTTGCTAAGTCTAGTATGGCATTGTATTATATTTAGAATATGAATATCAACAATTCATTTCAGCATGTGTGTCTTCCAAGAATAATACAACAATTTACGTATGTGTTGGAGAAGACGTTACATTGCCATGTCCCCCAGCTGATATCAGTAAAACGGTTAGTTGGTTCAGGAAAAATGTGTCCAAGAATCCTATAATAACGTTGTACCAAGGGCTTAGAGGAAAAGACAACCATTTGCCATCAAACATTGCGGTCGATGTTACTGAGGAAAAAGGAGAATCTAATTTGACGATAAATAACTTCACTAAAGCTGATACTGGATCCTACCAATGCTTGCATGACAAGAGTCTAACTTCATGGGTGTTCTATCTTATAGTGAAAGGTAAAATCCAGATAAAACTGGCGTTAAAAAAAGAATTTTTATGTCCCTTGCTTTTTTTTTAAATGCCCAATACTGCAAATATTGCTATATAAAATATTTTTCTGAAACATGGCATCAGGAATATCTAGAGCAAAATGTTGTATAATCAATTCAAAATAAAGACAAGGTGTAGTATAACAAGAAGAAACGAAGAAAAGAACGAAAACAGTAGAGAAAACAATCTAGGATCCAAACATCGACTGAAATAATGTAGCCCTCCTATTTTGTCCAATTACAAAACGTGCCGGTGTTGTTTTATTAAACAGTGATAGCAATCAAATGGTGGTTATTGTAGATGTTATTGAAATATAATTTTTTGCGGCATTTGATGTGCAATACTGCAGTTATCTTTGTACGAAACGTAGCCTTGGACTAAATGAAGTAATAAAAAAGCTTAATAACGCAACAGTTATGAAAGAGCAATTATAACTCGAAATCGATGAGACAACTCTAGAGCGTAACACTATGAAGGCACAAAAGCTACAAAAAATGTAAATATGTTTGCATCTGGCATGTGAAGACTTTTGGACAAGCAAATAAATCCATTTCGATAGACCATGACCAGCCATGTAATACAAGGCGAAAGGACGAATTCGACGGACGCCACATGTTGAGCAGGATCTACTGACCATTCTGGATCTCTCAAATCACCTCCATTTATTTGTGGGATTTGTTAGAACCAATTAATAGATTTCCGAAAATATATATACGCTTTCCTTTTATAAGCTGGAAGCGGGGAAAGTAACTGAAAAATCATTGGGATTAGTTTTGTCTACAATCGAAGAGATTTGTTGTCATCTCCTTTCAACAAATAAGCTTGTGAAGAAATATTTGGAAACCGAAATACACATAAATCATTTAAGGTATTCAATAAAACACACCATTAAAACGTCTAAGGATCATTTTATTCCCAGGAAAGTTTAAATAAATGACGAAGAGGGTTGCTACTTATAAGGAAGCTATTAAACCAAGAGTTCCAAGTGGTGAAGTAGAAATTATCCCATCGTAAATTTTACGGACGTCATCACGAGTTGGTTGACCGTTATGGAATATCCGTTTCACAGATGATAGAGGAGATGTTCTAAATGACGTAACGACAATCCCGTCCCCTTTTCCCCGAATGTGACCTACCAAATTATACTTACTTGAGCAACATGACGGGTGCCATATGTGGAGCAGGATCTGCTTACCCTTCCGTAGCACCTGAGATTACCCCCAGTTTTTGATAGTGTTCGTGTTGCTCAGTCTTTAGTTTTCTATGTTGTGTTTTGTGTACTGTTGTTTGTCTGTTGGTCTTTTTCTTTTTCAGCAATGGGGTTGTCAGTTTATTTTTGATTTGTGAGTTTGAATATGCCTATGGTATCTTTCGCTTGTCTTTTCCGATGGTTGAAATAAAACTCATAAGAAGGGCAAACAACACCGTTGAAAAATAAAAACGCACTTTACACAGGGATGAGCACAGTAGCTCCAAACGTTTTGGGAGGTCCTTTTTTTTGTAAAATGTAAAATAACTTACGGTCTCACTGCAGAAATACGTTTTTGTGAATTTATTGTTCCGGCGCATACATCTTCACATGAATATACAAAGCTTTTTAAGGTTACTACATGGTATGGTTCAGCTCATTGCGAAAGGGCGTGACTTATAATTGCTTACATCCACGTCATTTGGTATCTGGTGAATAGTTGTCTCATTGTCAATCATATTATATACTTCCGTATTTTTGTATTGTAGTTGCAATTGACTACCAAAGAACCTCTTTCATGCTTTTATATCTTTGATGAGTTTTATAAACATAAGAGGTATTCTCATGTTATTATTTGGTAGGATAAAAAAGAAAAACATTGTATTAACCTTCTGCTTGGTCTAAGGTCAACTTAAATTATGAAAATGAAGTGTCATATATAATAGCCCCTTTTTTATGCCAGTGTGTATCATGTATTTCATGTTGCGTCTATTAATAATTGTTTACTTTATATATCATTCCGAAGATGAAGATTAAGTGGTTAATCACTGATACATCTTGATACATTTATTGTTTATAAATCCAGATCATAGGCAGGACAATTTGGGAAGCCAAACCAACAGTAAAACTATGGCTAGTACTAGTAATGTTTCTACATACAAAACAGGTATATAGTTATATATTATTATTGTTTTCTCTTTTAAATTCAGTACGCTATCAATTGGGTTTACATTCGAAATATGTTAATACACATTTTAATTCGAAAGAGTATATATGAGCTATCTTTTCCAGACTTATCTCAGATTGTCATAGGTGGATTGGCAGCCAAGACGGGAATAAAAGGGGGACTTTGTCACTGTTATAATTTTAAAGACATATTTTGATTTTAACTGTTCGATAAAGGGTTGCTGTTTACAGTGAAGATTCATAATCAAGTGTTCTAGATGATGATGTATATGTCATCGCATTGAAAGTTTACTGTCGCCATGATAATTTGATAAATTAAATGGGTGTTATTGCTGTTGTTTTTCAACTATCTATGTCATAACACCGTTCTTGATTGATAGTATATCACTTATTAACGAGTTTGTTTAACCTATCCGTGATCTGAATTTTACATATAATGACCCACTCAAGGTAACCATCAGTTGAAAAGAAAATTGTAACCCTATAGCAGGACATTAGTTCACATAAGTTTTCACCATAATTTTTTGTGTTCCTAAATCTTAATTTTCTTTGAAGTGTTTTGTAGACTTAAAAATAAGAAGATGTGGTATGAGTGGCAATGAGACAACTCTCCATCCAAGTCACAATGTGTAAAAAGTAAATAATTATAGGTCAAAGTACGGCCTTCAACACTGACCCTATTTTACCTATTTTGGTCATAATATTGTTTGTTTCGTTAAGGACTAATGATTTTCGATTGCCTATTGGTATAGTTCAACAATTTTCAACTTCCCTAAATAAAACTTTGAAACTCCCATAATCAATGTTGACATCTGACGGATTTATTTCCTTACTGCTTACGATTATTACTTTGGTTTGAATTGATTAGATGCAACAGTTTTTTAATTGTATTCACCAAGCCTTTGTACTGAATATAGGTACCATTTGATACCGTTTTTACGAAACGAGCATGCGCCAAACAGAAATGACAGGTTAAACGAGTCCTCCCAAAAAATGGGATAATTAGTGTAATATCATTGATGGGTGGTGTAATATTATATTACTAAGATAAGTGCTGATATTATAAAGCGAATATTAGCGTGAAGTTAGATTTCAAGTGACATTTTCCTACACATTTAAAACATTCGGACACTACTCACAATGGATGTAAACAAAATGGATACCGCCATGAGTAAAAACAATGACACTGAGCAAGAAGTTTTATTTACATGTTCACAACCAAACACAGATACAACTCCTTCAATATATAACCCTGGTAAACGTGGTAAACGAGGTAACCCTGAAAGTCCTGAAAACCTACCAGGTACTCAAAAACAACAAACTAGACAAATCCGTAGACGCAACTCTATCGGCGATATTAGCGAGACATTGAAAAAAAAAAACCTACAAGTCTGAATAAAAGTGTTGCTAACAAAGTTCTCGAAGCTCTGTCCAGTCCCGAGGTTCTAGACACCATAATACCAGTTCTGACGCAAAAGTTAAGCGAAGCTCTGAGTCCAATTATTGAAGCAGAAGTCAAAACCTGTGTCGTGGAACAAATAAAACCCATGTCTGAAAAAATAATCAGTCAAGAAAAACAAATTGCAAATAACAATCAGAATATTTGTAAACTGTTTATTCAAGTACACCGCATGGAACAATGTTGTAAAGACCGTCTAGAACAAAGGAACTCGATTCACAATATAATAAAATAAAAGATTTCGAGACTCGACTTGAAAATCAGGAGCAATATTCTAGACGAACCAGTGTCAGATTTCATAATGTTCCAGTCCCTGTCGATGGTCAAGGTCAAATCCAGCACCCAGTTAATACTGATCGTTTGATACTTGAAATCTGTCAAAATAAAATGAATCTAGACATCAACATTGATGACATTGGCAGGACCCATGTTATAGGGAAGCCACGAAATGGTAAATCCCAAGTTATCGCAAGATTTGTTTCGTACAGGAAGAAACATCTGGTCTATTCCAATGAAAAAATACTAAAAAATGATGAAAATGGTACATTTATCACGGAAAATTTGACCAAATTTAGAACCACGCTTGTACAAACATTAGCCCAGATGAAATATAATGGTAACATAACTGCTTACTGGACTGCTGATGAAAAAATATTTGCCAAAAGAACCGAAAATAGCAGGAAAAAATAATAAATGAGTGGGAGGACATTAATGCTCTTCAGCGTCCAATGAGAGACCAAGATGATCTACAATTACCTGTGACACAAGCTAATGAACAGACCCCTGATGAAAGACCATAATAAGTTCATCTTTTCTCTCTGACAATGACGAATTCATGTGTTTACTGCTACAATTTCTGTTCATAATTGTTTGTGAATCTGTTGTTTCATTCTTGATGAAAATCAACATATTAAGTCAATAGTTATGTTAAAATTTACCAAAACCAACCTATAGTACATCTTGTTCGTTGTATAACCATCCGGCCTAATACTAGGGTATGCGACAGAAACTTAAAACGTTCAAAAATATTTTAAACAGTATCTCTCCTCGAAAGTATTTTTCTTCATTTATAACCAATTAACCCGTATGAAAATATTTTCTTTTTACTAATTCACAACCTTTAGAAAGCATAAAGTTTATAAGTGCCGACGAAAAAAAAAAATCATACACTTAAAAGCGAATCGCCTATTTTAAACAAATGTGTATATATGCATACTCATGCATGAAAATCTTACAACAAAATGTATTTTGTAAGTTATTGACAACATTTATTTAAAGTCCAAATTTGTTTTCTATTGTAGTTTGTTTTGGTTGATAGATTACTGTCTCAATAAAATGTACCCAAACGTGTTCCTTTGAATGCGAATATGCACTAAAAAACATTCTTTTAAACAGGTGACATCGTATGTCATATAATTTTGTACTAGTGAAAGTAATTTCAGACCAGTTAATAGTATGCTTGGTATTAGCATTCCTGTCTACATATCAATTAGAATGTCATGATTTACTTACTATTGTTCTAATTATTCGTCATCATCTCTTTTTTTATAACACAAGTCTTACACTGAAAAAGTTTTTGCCTCATTCTCACTTTTAAAAAACAAAGCAGATCAATTTATTAATTTAATGTTGGGATGTAGGACTTGTTTGCTTGGGTTCACATGTACTCTGCGTTTATATGTCATTCAATTATTTTGAAGTAAAATCAAGTTGCGGTAGAAGTATTATTTGTATTTCTATCTTCACCATATTTGCTTTATTTATATATCTAAAACCTACCACAAGTTCAAAGTAAGAAAGTTGTTAAAATATCTCCATCATCCCTAATTATGTAATTTAAATATAAATCCCATATCCTACAAAAATGACTGCCCACATCTATTTGTTTTTTTCTCTTTCAATTTTGTCCATACATTGTGATATTTTGTACATATATTTTCATTTTGTTTCTATGATGATGATGATGGTGTTGTGTGTGTATTTTCAGGTATGCATGGATCGTTTGGCTGCAATTTGCTGTAACTTATTTGCTATACTGAACCCAAATGGGTAACAGTATAGAAGACTACAGGGCAGCCATAGGTTCATTTCATATGACAAGAAAAAAATCTTTCAGTTTTCACGACTGTCGGTCTAGTTCTTATTACGAAATATTTATAACCAACTTACGGTCTACTTGTTTAATCTTCTCACTTTTTCTTCTACAGTCAGTAAATCCAAACATCGACATAGTTTTTCTGTTTTTTGTACTTCACTTTATCCTAATCATTGGGAATATTGAAACAAATCCTGGTCCTAGTGAAATGAAGGAATCGAATACACCCTTAACGGTCATTGAAAAATCCATTTCAATATGCACTTTAAATATCCGTAGTATAAAGAATAAACTAGAGTTCCTAGACAATTTCAGTGATGAATTTGATATTTTAGCTATCACAGAGACACACTTAGATTCAAATATATGCGACAAAGATCTAGAACTAGATTCATTTTCAAATAAAATCATCAGAAAAGATCGTAACAATTTTGGCGGCGGCCTCCTTATTTATGTTAAAGACGATATTGGTATTCTTCGTAGAAATGATCTTGAAAATCAATCAGATGAATCTCTCTGGGTTGAAATCCGTGCTAAAGGTCAAACATTCTTACTCTGTAACACCTATCGACCTCCCGAATTGACAGACGGTCATTATTGGACACGCTTAAATCATGCAATAGGATTGGCTTATCAATTCAATGAAAATATCGTAATTACCGGTGACCTGAACAGTGATTTATTCAAGACGCAAAACAACAAACTAATAGAAATTCTAAATATATTTAATTTACGAAAAATGTTATTGATAAACCAACTCGAATGACAAATCATAGTAGCACACTACTCGATCCAATTATTTTAAGTGACACTTTGTCGTACTATATCTCAGATGTTATACCAACGCCTGCTAATATAAGCGACCACGATGCACCAATCATTTTTCTCGAGTGTCCGACAACTGTTACACGTTCGTATAAAAGAGAAGTGTGGATTTATGAAAAAGTTGATACAGTTAAATTCTCTGAAAAAATGGACGACGTTGACTGGAATGCACTGCTTCCTGATAATAAAGATGTGGATGAACTATCTGGAATCTTTACTGAATCATTCTTAAATATCGCGAGGGAGTGCATTCCAACTAAATTAGTTACTATACGTAGTTCTGATAAACCATGGTTTAATGGTGAATTAAAAAGAGAAATTCGAAAACGAGACCGTTTTAGAAAAAAATGCCCTGAAATATAAAAGAGAATCAGATGTTGCAAAGTACAAGAAACAGAGAAACAAAGTTAACAATTTAAAAAAGATCGCTAAGGAAAGATTTGAAACTAATTTAGATAATATTATATTGAGTAATGCTCCAAATTCAAAAAACTATTGGAAAATAATGAAAATGTTAATCAAGTCGAACAAGAGTTCAAATAATATTCCTCCTCTTCAAAACATAATAAACGATGAGGATTTCAATGACATAGTTTATGAGGATAGTGAGAAGTGCGACCTGTTGAACAAATATTTTGGTTTGATAACCAACCTCGAGAAAGAAAATGTTCCTGTTCCAGAATTTAAAGTAAAAACTAATACTAATATTCAAGATATATACATAAATCAAACTGAAATAATTGATATTATCAAAACTATTGATTCGAATAAGGCATCGGGACCAGATATAATTAGTCACAGAATGCTGAAAATTTGCCCTAAGAAAGTGTCGGTTCCTTTACAAATAATATTAAATAAATCTCTTCAACAATGTAAGTATCCTTCTAGCTGGAAGGTTGCAAATGTTATTGCTATTTTAAAAAAAAGGTGATTCGTCATTACCTTCAAACTATAGGCCAATCTCTTTAATAAGCTGTGTAGGTAAAATCATGGAACGAATTGTTTTTAAACATGTAATACTATATAATCATCTACATATGAATAAGCTAATTTATGAATATCAGTCTGGATTTTTGCCAAAATACTCAACTGTACATCAGCTACTAGAAATGTATAATTGTATTCTTAACTCACTAGAAAAGAAGGAAATAAATTGTTTTGTCTTTTGCGATTTTTCTAGAGCTTTTGACAAGGTATGGCATAGAGGGCTCTTACATAAAATGAAAGCTTACGGAATACATGGTAATTTATTTAACTGGTTTGAGAGTTATCTTTGTGATAGGAAACAAAAAGTTGTGATTAATAAATCATCATCCTCATTTTGCAGTCTTTCAGCTGGAGTACCTCAAGGATCAGTCCTTGGTCCCTTATTATTTATAATATATATAAATGACATTGCAGAGAAACTCGCATCCCTGACCAGACTCTATGCGGATGACACTTCGTTTAATTACTCAGGGCACGACAAAGAACATATAAAAAAATGTTATTGGTCGTGACCTCGAGGAGCTGAACGAATGGTCAAGAAGGTGGCTTATGTCTTTTAATCCAGACAAAACAAAAATAATGATTTTTTCAAATAATGACGCTCCAGATCTAAAATTCTGCTTAAATAACAAAGAAATTCCTATTACAAAATGTCATAAACACCTTGGGGTAACGTTTTGCTCTGATGCTTGGTGGAAAAGCCATATAGACAATCTGATTATTAGTGTAACGAAACATTTAAATATACTGAGAAAAATCAAGTATCAACTTTGTAGGAAAAACTCTATATAGTATTTATAAGACCAATTTTTGAATATGCAACTGAGGTTTGGGATAATTGTGGGATAGGATATGCTAATAAACTTGAAAGTCTGCAGCTAGAAGCTGCTAGAATAGTTACTGGTTTGCCTATATTTACAAAATCTGAAAATCTGTATGAGGAAGTTGGGTGGGAAACTTTAGCTGACAGGAGGAAAAGACGAAAATTACAAATGTTTTATAACATTCAATATAAACATGCTCCGGATTATCTATGTAATCTAGTTCCACCCAGTGTACAGAGCACAACTGTATATCCCTTGCAAAATGGCAATGATATCATTGTTCCTTTTTGTAGATTATCCCTTACTAAAGAATCTTTTATACCATCAACTATTAGATTATGGAATCATACCGATTTGTCCCTTCGAAAATTAGACTCTATCTCAAAATTTAAAATCCAATTAAAAAGGCTAAATACTATAAATAAGATGTACCGAAGCACTATTTATATGAACCGAGGAAACTAAATATAATTCTAACACAATTCAGATGCTATTCATCTTTCTTGAACTATGACTTGTTTAGAGTCAATTAAATTGCTGACCCATCTTGTTTTTGTAAATGCAACATTGAGACTGTACACCATTTCCTTTTCGACTGTTCTTTATATACACACCAGAGAGAAATTCTGATGAACAATCTAAGATGGCTCCCTGGTGACCTTATATTAAATGTTAAGTTACTAACATCTGGTATTCCGAACCTTTCGTATGAACAAAACGTCAATATATTTAAACACGTATTCGAGTTTATTAAAAGGTCTGAGAGATTTCTTGTTATATGATACTAATAGTGTATTTGCGGTACATTCACGTCATCATCCTCATCATCATTACCAATGTTTCCGTTATTATTGTTTATCTTTTTTTTCAATAGATAGACTCTTATAGTATTGTATATTCTGAATTATTGCATGCTCACATTAATATTGTATTGTAATTTATTGTTATTCGGAGCGGACTTCATAAGTATGGTTTACTTGTGTCCAATCCATTTTACTTTGAGTAAATAAAATATGTTTAAACTAAAAATACCGTTTTTAAATCTCATAAACTGATTAAGCCGGCAAATCAAGGTAAAAAACAAAACTGGGAGAGACCAAGAGAAATGTCACAATTAGGCCTAGGAATATAAGACAATCGGTAAAATTACAGATTAGACGACTATTATAGTATCTACAGATCAAAGATGAAACTAGTTAGTTGAGACAAAGACATATCGTGTCGGTCAACCAAGTCGTAATAATGACCATAAAAATTATGAAGTGTCAATTTCTTCTTTATAACTCCGGTTGAGCAGTATTTTGTATAAGGAGCACACCCTTGCTAATGAATTCCGTATAGTTTGAACATGCACGTGCGTATCGTATCATTTGCGATATTTAAACTCTGTAAGATGAGCCAGAGGATATGTTACTGCTGAGAAATGGACAGTTGATACCATAACGTTTGTCATAGATTCTAGTTTGAATTCGTCTATCTGTGTCTAAATCGGGAAAAAGATAAAGACGTAATGCAGACCTTCTTGTGATGTAGTATCATAAATCCAAAGTTCATTTGGGATATATATAATGCAATATTTCACTGATATGCAGGTTATTGAGGACCAGAGATTACCCCCAGTTTTTGGTGGGATTCGTGTTGCTAAGTCATCAGTTTTCTATGTTGTGTTTTGTATACTGTTGTTTGTCTTTTGGTCTTTTTCGTTTTTTGCCATGGCGTTTTCAGTTTATTTTTTACTCATTTACTGACAGGACTAAATCAAGTCGGCCAGTAGGGGTAAACAATTAGTAGCACTTATTGGGATACCAACTGTCTGTTGAAATATCAATCAGGCAAACTCAGTAAATATATTGTCGATCAAATAGTAAAGCATTTTAAAAAATAAGCATTTTTGGTGTATTTGTTTTTGGAATCAGTACGGTGTTTCGTCATTTCGATTCTAATGTTTGTAGAAAAAACTCTGTTTAATCAGACAATACTTTAGATCTTTCAATTGAGCATGAGGAATAGTAGTGTAAAGCTTAGAAAACCAACAGTTTTGATATTATTACAAAATTGGAATGATTGTGATTAATGATTTTGTAGCAGATCTTTAAAGAAACCACATACGATTGGCACCTATGGTTGAATATATCTTATCACAATATTTCTAAAGGCCATCTTTTACTGTAGAAAGAAGGTTATAGTCGAACATATTGAATGACTGGCTGTATATAGTTTTCGTAAGGATTTTTGGTAAATGTAAGTTTCCGGTATAAAGACGGGAGATTTTCATCTTCCGTTTTGATTTAATTAATTAAAGACAGAAGGATGGTGTGATCTTTTAAAATCTCCTACTTCGTGAATGACTTAGCGGTGTATGTCATGTATATGTGGGATTCACGGCTTTATGTAAATTCGGAGTTTTTTAATTAGGTTTCTGTTAGAGGCTATGTCTGCTTAAGCAACATCATATTTGTCGTGGAGAGAAGATAAAGCATACACATGGTCAGGCTTCTTGAAAGGATATTTCACCCAAGTGCTCATTATACGTCTGAGGGCATGACCGAACAGCTGTGATCCATTAAGACGCGTGTGCCGTATCAATAAATAATTATGCAATTTTATTGGTCATTCTATATATGTTTATTTGTTACAGATCTAGAAAGTGGTAATATATGTGCCTGTCGTGGAAATCCATATAATTGTGAAAACACAACTAGTTTAAGTTATGTTTCTGAAGGAACGACAGGTATGTGTTCAAAGTTTATATTCAAATTTTAATTTACTTTCATTAATAATCATTTTATGACCAAAGACAGACGTTCGAAACATTTTCGTATTATCAAAAACGTAAATCGTATTATTTGAGACTGGCTCATATGACTGTTCTCAATTTTTCTTCATATATAAAATATTAACAATTAGAAAAACCATTACAAAAATAGATTTATCAACGTCATTAGATAATTCATAATGATTGTGTTCCTTTCATTAATTCATAATACACCATTTCGTTATTTTTTTTTAATTTCTTATCGGAGGGGGTCCCTTCATATATTTACGCAATATTTTTTTTTCTAAATTAGAATTTTTATTTAGTTTATAGAGTTTCCAATGACAAACAATAGATTTAGATTTTTTTCATCGTCTCATGGAGACATGACGAATGCTTCATTATGTTTATACTTAATAATTTCAAACAAAACTATGATATAGATATAAGAAGATGTAGTATGAGTGCCAATGAGACAACTCTCCATCCAAGTAAAAATTTATAAAAGTAAACCACTATAGGTCACAGTACGGTCTTCAACACGGAGCCTTGGCTCACACCGAACCGTAAGCTATAAAGGGCCCCAAAAAATTACTAGTGTAAAACCATTCAAACGGGAAAACCAACGGTCTAATCTATATAAAAAACGAGAAACGAGAAACACTTATGAACCACATCAACAAACGACAACTACTGAACATCAGATTCCTGACTTAGGACAGGTGCAAACAAATGCAGAGGGTTTAAACGTTTTAATGGTACCAAACCTTCACCCTCTTTCTGAAACAATAGTGTAACATCACAACATAGAAAGACACACAATAAAATATCAACTGAAAAAGCTTAACTCAATCAAAAGACATATTAACACCATTGAACATACACTGAACAAATAAATTTGACCTATGACTCAATGTAAATACAAAATAAATAAACTAAGGGAAGAATAATAAAAAAAGTATACATGTATATCGAAACAATAGAGTTTGAGCCAGAACATTTCGATATTAAAAGCATAAAGTACATTTTCTGTGGATCATGACCAAGAAAAGTAACTCCTGGCTATTGACAATTATTCAGTACATAATCCGTTTTTGGTTATGCTGTAGTATTATTAGACGTTAGTTGTTTTGTTTTGTTTTTATTTATTTTTTGTTCTGATGTATCAAGTAGTAGTAATTTTTGATATATTGACTCTTTTCCATTGTCATTTTTGCCATATTACTGAAGTACCCTCAGTTGTTGTTTAGGTTGTGTAAGAATTATCAATGCCCGAACTGGTGGCCTGCTTTTAATCAGAGTTTCGTGAAATGACAATAAACTTTGAAGGATACCGAAAATTTATTCATATAAATACATATCTTTAAGACAACAAAACACATTGATGTGTATAAAAGCATAACAAAAATACCGAACTTGAAGGAAAATTCAAAAAGGAGAAGTGATGAAAAAATATGAAAATCAATGAAATTTTTCGTTTTCAAAACAATAATTCATTAAATATTTCATTTGCAATTGTAGGTGTTTTTAAATCAGGTGAACGTTCAGATGTAAACGATGGTGAGTCAATTTATTACAATTACTTTTAACCTTAGCTTGACAATGAGACTAGACACTACCAGGTTTTACTTGTAATTGAATTCCTTAAAAGATTCAAGATGATAGGTTAATATAGCAATAAAAATTACCCAAAAAAGAAAGACAATTTGTTAAATGAATATGAGCACATGGCTCAGTGGGGGACAAATTTGTTTTAATATCACCCTCTCTTGCAGACCAATCAAAATCGATGATTTAAAGGAAAATTAATTAAATTTTCATCAATGATTAGACAATGCTTAAGTTCTACGTTTTGGCCTTAGAACTTTAGAATGTCAAAATAAAAGATACTTCTTGCTTAATTTTTTTTGTTTTTCTAATAACATTGTTATGTACATTACGTCATAGTTAATTACTTTCAATTTAAAATTTAAAATACAATAATGGCAGAACATTCATTATAACAAATTAAATATCACATAGCTAAGAGAGTCATAGAGCAGATTTTTACCCCTCGAATAAACATTGTCAACCTTGTATCACCCTCTCAGCTATGTGTTATATATATATATATATATAATATTACTCTTTTATTGTGGTATAAGTGCCAATGAGACAACTCTTCATCGATGTCACAATTTGTAAAAGTAAACCATTATAGGTCAAAGTACGGCCTTCAACACGGATCATTGGCTCACACCGAACAGCAAGCTATAAAGGGCCCCAAAAATTACTAGTGTAAAACCTTTCAAACAGGAAAACCAACGGTCTAATCTATATAAAAACATGTTATATGAGTGTTGATATACATAAGCGTCTTAGGGTAGGCTGATTTTAAGTTACTATTTACAAAGGAAAACATAACGTAATTTATCAAAATTTATTGTTAATGGCATTGTTTTGTTTATCAGTCGCAACATTAATGTTTACGACTATTCTTTTGCTTAAATATTTTCCTGGGTCTCATCAGATCGACAACGACTGTGTGCTTGTATTTATTTTTCTTTAAGAATTGTCATTTCCCGTCGGTAGTGTTAGAAAAGTTGTTACAATGGATATCTTTTTGATATATTCTCTTTGAAAACTTTGAAAATAATCAACCTTTACGTTGATTCCGTTGAAATTATCTTGTATATATAATATATATTTGGTTAGCAGATGATGTCACAAACATGATGTGGTGGTATGTAATGTGCTGTGGGTTAGTCGCTGCTGGATTTGCAATTGTATCTTGTAAATATTCAACACTTGAAAAAGGTAATTCACCATTTATATGTTTGTGTTATTTGATTCAATTTACTTGAAGTCTATATATTAACTACTTGAATAATTTGTATAAATATATTATAAGCATAATTCAACTATTTATTAAGTAATTCAACAATTTATTAAGTAAAATTATCTATGTTTGCGTATAAAGTCTTGTCTCTGCTCCTTATCTGAAAATGTAGTATTTGCACAGAAAAGTGATGAAAAAAGGTATTAAATCAGAATTATATCTATTTTATGTAATACCTTTATTTCTCTCTTTTTATCTGAAAATACTCGAATTTGACAACAATGGTCATCTCCGTACCAGAGTCCATGACAAACGAGACGATTCTAGTTTCGAAACTATAACTTTTTTCACCTTAGCACCAATATATCAACTTCACTCCGCGTATGTAGTTTACATTTCTCAACTCATACGATATTCAAGAGCTTGTAGCTGATACTATGACTTTGTAAAACGTCATCGGTGTCTGAGCAAAAAAATAATGTATTAGGGTTTTGACAAAGAACATGTCGTCCTTTTTCTCAAAACGTTCATCGGAAAGTACCAAGACCTAATATTTTATTTACTTTATCCTTCTATTTATCTGTGTGCTATTATGTTTCTTTTGGACTTATGACTTTTGACGTAGCTCGGTATTTATACATCCCGCTATAGGGCGTTTGACCTTGGGAGTTCCTGGTGAAGGTTGGTCATGATGTTCGCGATTTATACGCAAAAGGTTTTTACAGTGTTGTTTCCGTTTTGTTTACCCTTGTATTTATATTTTACTTAATTTGTACTTTATCGAGAAATGGTATACTATATACGGTATGTATTATCAACTATAAAACTTTTTTATCGGCTTCTTTGTCAATCTACTATCAACTACACAAACTTTTTTGTTGGCGTCTTTGTCAAATTTACTATCAACTTCAACAACTGTTTTGTTGGCGTCTTTGTTAGATTTATTTGTATGTTTGTTTTAATTTTTAATTCAGTTGTGTTGTATGTCTGTGATGTATGTTTGCACAGTTTTGGCTGCTGGATCCCAATTATTGTCACAATAACCTACATGTATAATGTCTGTTTTTGGTTGCTCACCAAATTTTGTCAATACAACGGAACTATAAACAATTGTCATACAAGTGGGAGGTTTAGCTTCATTTAGCTATACAACCAGGTTCAACCCACCATTTTCTCTTCGAAATATGACTGTTCTAAGTCAGGAATATGATAGTTGTTTTGCATTCGTTCCTTTGGTTGATAAAGTTTTTCATTTTGTCAGTTTAAATGGACTTCCCCTTTTTTGAATCTACATTAGAGTTCGGGTTTTTTGTATTATTTTTTTATAAAACAAACTAGCAAACTAGTTTAACCCCGACACATTCTGTATGTGATTGTCCCAAGTCAGGAGCCTGTAAATCAATGTTTATCGTTTGTTGCTGTGTATCATTTATTTTCGCTCATTATTTTGTACATAAATCAGGCCGTTAGTTTTAATTTTTTTACATTTGTCATATCGGGGCCTTTTATAGCTGAATATGCGGTATGGATTTTGCTTATTGTTGAAGGTCATTCGGTGACCTTTAGTTGTTAACTTCCATGTCATTTGGTCTCTGGCTGAGAGTTGTCTCTTTGGCAATCATACCACATTTTCTTATTTTCATATGTACAGTGTGTGTTGATGACAAAAACGTCCTCCAATATAGTGAGCAAAATGAAGGAATATGTTTTGCTTAGAATATTTTTACGAAAATTAAGGTCAGCAATGTCCTGATAAAAAACCTCCAGTCTCTTCAGTTCCGTGTACATATCGTATTATACACGTCAAATTAGCATTAACATTTTTGCTCATGGATCGCTCGTTAATATTTCAGGAAGGAAAGGTGACAGTAGACCAAGAAAGGTAGATATTAAATGATAATTTTTATTTTCGCTTCATTATTTTAATAAAAAGTATGAATAAAATATACAATTAATCTAGTGAAATGTGGATACTTGTTACCGTTTTCTGAATATACTCTCATATTAATTGCATTACATCAAATTGTGATCAAATTATCACATGTCAGCCTTCTGATGGACCAAACAATACACACATATATATACCATATCGAATGGAATTACGAGTGAAAGGAAATGTGAGGTGACTCATCCTTTTAAAAGTTTGATATTTGCACAATGTTCTCTAGTTTTGTTATTGAATAAAATTTCCAGCTGTTTTGATTCTAGCGCCTCTGGTGAGTTTTTTTTTGGTATACAAAATACGCCTCTTGCGTACTGAATTAACTCAGTGGTTAAAATGTCTGTGTTGACATGAAATATCAATAATGCTGTAATTTTCTGCAAATAATTCGTTATAAAATGTTAATTATCTAACCTCCTATATATTCAAGGAATATAATTGGTTAAAAAAAACCAATGGAGACCCTGTATATTTAATATGGGGTTAGTGGGCGTGTCTTATTTTGATATACAGTTAGTAGCAGTGTTACGTCCCTTTATAAAAACAACTTGACGATGAAGAAAATGTTGAAAAAAGTTTCGCCCAAACAACAGATGTAGAAATTGATGATGAACGACTGAAAATGCAGAAAACACATGAAAGCTATCAACTTGCTTTGTTGGCATTTGTTATTGTATTGACCAATGGAAGTAGGTTCTTAATATTGAAGACTTGGTCACTTTGACCGGCCACTTATCTAAATGCCACATGTTAAGATAGTCAGTTATATAAATTCGTTCCACAGTGTGCTAGTCAGTAACTGCGAGTACTCTCAGATCTGTACTTAGTGTCTTTTTGTTGTGGGAATGTATAAGTACCCGCCCACGTCCACTCTGTGTATTTGTTAGATGTATTTCTATTTGTATCCATCTGATGAGTTAAGCCTTTTTCAACTGATGTTTTAGTTTGTTCTTACATTGTACTTATACACCACTGTCCCAGGTTAGAAGGGGGGGGGGGGGGGGGGGTTGGCGCCTTCAAACAAGTTTAACCTCGCCACATTCTGTGTGTGCCTGTCCCAAGTCAGGAGCCTGTAATTCAGTAGTTGTCGTTTGTTGCTGTGTAACATATTTGTTTTTCGTTCATTATTTTGGACATAAATAAGGCCGTTAGTTTTCTCGTTTGAATTGTTTTACATTTGTCATTTTGGGGTCTTTTATAGCTGACTATGCGGTATGGGCTTTGCTCATTGTTGAAGGCCGTACGGTGACCTATAGTTGTTTTAAAATTTCGGTGTCATTTGTTCTCTTGTGGATAGTTGTCTCATTGGCAATCATACCACATCTTCTTATTTTTATAGTCAAAGGGTATATATGGGGCCAGTAAATTTTAAAAAGATGAAAACCTAAGTAAATTTCATTATTTGTTTAAAATTGAAAACATAGCACATGTTTCTAGTAAGATAAAGTCTAGAAAACACAGACGTATCTGGTATCTATGATGAGTTTAGAGATGTTCATGTATGTAGATATTCAGCTTACATTTTTTTACCAACCTCCTCTTGTTTTTACGTCTTTTTTTCCATCATACGTAATATTATATAAGATTTAGGCAAATTTTCGACAATGTTTATTTGACAAAAGTCAATTTAAAAATAAAGCATCAGCTCGAGCTTTCTATATGACATGAGTTCTTCTAGTTCATCAGATGTATGATAGGTCAACTGTACATTTTGTATTACTAATATGTTCCTTTTGTAACTCCAGATATCGGTTTTAAAAAGTTGAAGGGGTTAGATCTCAAATCTCAAATAACTATTTCAATCTCGTCACATATTAATATGCGTAATTATGACAAACAATGTAATCTCATCAATGATTGTTTTTGTCATATCTTAAAGGTTTTTGTTGTTTATATAGTTGATGGAAGATCTTTGTTTTTTTTTTGATAAATTTATTCACAACGTGTTTGTTTCGACTAGATACTGCTTAGAGCTTGACATATTGTATCTATGTTTCTGTTTGTTGTCCTTGGATGACTTTTGGTTACTTTTTTCTGTATGTTGCTGTCTCTTTGACGAACTAATTGTAAGCTGGAGCATTTATTTATCGCCACATGTTTCACGTGAATCACAGATGGTACTTTCATAGTTGTTACCAACATATATACAATGTTTCGACATAGAGCTGAGTCATTTTGAATTCATTGGTAGTTTATTGATACGTTTTCATTCTGTGCATACTACTGTTAATCTAATTATCAGTATTGAATCATCGTAATGCAATACAAATTTTAATTTTTTCTAACTTTTCGTTAACTTATTATCAATAAATGTTGCAACAGGTGCTGGAAATTTTTAAGTCATTTATTTTAATGAAAATATGTGTCACTCTTTATTTGCAGGAAATCATAGTGGTTTAACGAGAATATATAACATCTTTTATGAAGATGATTTATCAACAGCTGCTACTAACGAATGTTCAAACAATAAAAGATGGTTGTGTACGGACCATTTCAATCTATTTCCTATAAACGCGTAGGCAAATAAAGTACTAAAATAAAATGATCATCCAGGCTGTATCTTTAAATACACAGATTTTAAAAACAAACAATAGTATCTGAAATATCAAATAACAAATGTAAATCATAAATAAATCAGTTGATATCTGGTAAATTCTTATTTATTGTCTCGCCGAAGAGATTCTCACGTTTGCTGTTTGTTTCTTGCAATGAAGTCGACATTATCGATGGCGGCGTCGGTGGTCATGGCGTCATCAACTGTCAAAGCCAGTTGAAGAGGAACTACTAACGTTAAGTCAAAGATATTTAATAGGCCGTTGAAAAACAATGGCTACATTGCCAATTGACATAGAAACAGTTTATTTGTAGAAGTATTGTCATTTCAACATTTGCATTATACGTTCTAAATAACACACAGCGAGCCATATATCTGTGCCAACAGTTTATGAAATTCAAAAGAGTCATTAAAATGCAAACAAATCAATTAAAACAAGGAAATTAACCTCAACTCACTATATTAAAATAAAATCAATAGTATACAAATTCAACTCATCAATCGTATATCTTATATGGCAATCTCTATAAATAAAATTTATGAAAACAAATACATGCGTGCTTATTTTCAAAAATATAAAAAAATTAACTTTTCTCCAAAATGTTCATATATTTCTGATAATAATGTAAATGTTTGATGAGAAGTCTCCTTTCCAGTTTTTGTAGAGGGTCGTGTTGCTCAGTCTTTAGTTTGTCTATGTTGTGTTTTGTGTACTATTGATTGTCTGTTCGTCTTTTTCTTTTTAGCCATGGCGTTGTCTGTTTTTTTTTCGACTTATGAGTTTGAACGTCCCTTTTGTATCTTTCGCCCCTCTTTTTCCACTCTCTTTCACACACATCCCAACACTTTACAAATAACAAAAATGAATTTGCAGAGCTGATTGAGAGTTGACAAAAAAAAATTAAAGTGTCCAAATGTTTTCCTTTTTTGTACCAATTGCAACGTTCTCGATAAGTTGATTGGTAGGTCATATGCCGTATAATATGTCACAGTGAGCATCTTGATTTGAAAATCAATATTTAAAAATAAAAGAGCAGTCAAGTATAAAGAGTATGTGAAGAACAGCCAAATCTTTTTGAACGTATCAAATCAGTCATACGTAAATTATACACAAGATTTTCGATACATCAGCTGTTTTAGGAAACGAATGCTAGTAATTCCGTCTAATATAAAAAGCTACGAAAACGGGCACATTATTAACTAAATATAAAATTTCCTTGTTTCAAATTTTATCTTTCGACAAAACAGATGATATTCCAGGGATATCATTTAGTATTATGTTTTCATAATATATGTTTGCTGCTCAAGAGGCAGCTATTCAACAATGAGTTCTGACTGATGGAGTCATTTTTTTTAACATTTTACTGACGCCATCATGATTTGGTTGACTGTTATATATTAACTATATCATAGCTAACAATGGATACAGATGAATGCGTTAAAAACGTGTACACCTGGTTAACTTGATGACCAGATATTTTGACTTGTCTAAGTTAACTTGCGACAGGTTGTATGACTACTCAGGCCGTGAACCTAGCTAAAGCGAACAGCAAAATTGGTCATAAATAAAGGCAACAGTAGTATACCGCTGTTCAAAAGTCATAAATCGATTAAGCGAAAACAAATCCGGGTTACAAACTAAAACCGAGGGAAACACATCAACTATAAGAGTAAAACAACGGAACAACAGAAACACTGAACTGCAACAAAAACAAACGCCAAATTCATAGAAACGGACTATTTGACATGTTTGATAACAACTGCCATAATCCTTATTTGGGACAGGACATTTTAAGAAAAAATGGTGGGTTGAACCTGGTTTTATGTAAGCTATGACTGTTTTTATGATTGCACATATGTTAAACCCTACATGGACAGCCACGATCGAAACAGATATTATCTAAAGTTAACTTTTGGTCTATTCTTCTCAATACTAAAGTTAATTGTAAATTGACAAATGTCGTCTACGGATTAGAGTGTAACCTTTGCGGATTGGTATACGTCGGTGAAACGAAAGGAAGGGTAAATAAACTTATGTGCAGACTTCAAAACCACAGTGCAAGCGACGTTGTTTACAAGCATTTTAACCATCCTGATCATTTAATCCTTTCTATGAAAGTCCGCATCATCGAAAAAAATTTACAACAGGACTAACAATCTTCATCTTGCAACACCTCTCCGTAGACAAAAAGAAGACTACTGGATTCCACAATTGGGAAATGTGACACCATATGGTTGCAATGACAAAATTGATGGTATAGGTATTATATCTAGTCATTCCTGTAGCTCGGTGAATGTGATGAACATTTTCAACTCTACTCCTCGACGTAGACGCAGTCATGGTCATCGTCATTATACATCACCTACACTCCATGATGTCTCTATTAATGACCTGCTGCCATTTATACAGAAGCCATTAGGTATTCATCGCATTCGCACGAAGCTTTATTCATTACCACTTTCAAAACTGTAAAACTTATGTTTGGAAATCACTGTTACTAATCCTTATTCAAACCACTATAAACTTACAGCTATCATTTCGGATATTGCAAGTCACAGACTTTTAAAACCAGTTCGCATTGGAAAAAATGAAAAGGAGAACAGATTCTTTCTTAAACTTTCTTTTGCCAACAAAGGTCTCGATGCCATCAACTTGGGCAATATCCTTCATCATAAATCAGTTCACCTCCCTATTTTAAAGATCAGTCTGTACCTATCATTTCTTACACCTATACCAAACCAATTGCAACAAACATTTTTAATTACAAACACGTGTTGCAGGATCTCAATATTGACGACTTTAAGGCTTAACCCCCTGATTGCACCTGTGCTAGCGCCCCATTCATATATAATTCGGCTGGATCGCAAATATGAAGAACTGGATCTTCCATCACTGTATTGTATACCTAAACTACATAAAAAGTAAAATCACAAAAATACTGAACTCCGAGGAAAATTCAATCGGAAAGTCCCTAATCACATGGCAAAATCAAATGACAAAACACATCAAACGAATGGACAACAACTGTCATATTCCTGACATAAGTGTCCTTACAAACAACGGTATATTGCTGGGTCTTCAAAGTGATCCACGAAACCTCAGCAATCAAAGCCGGGCTTCAAAGTTATCGTGAAACTACCTATTCTAGAGGTGTCGTGAATCAGATGTGGATACTAAAAAATTCCAAAGATCTTTTAGAGTCAAACAATCTAAGACTCTTTCATATTGCAATAGTATTAAAACATTTGACTTTTCTATACTTTACACTAGTATTCCCCATTCCAAACTAAAAGACAAACTGAAAGAGTTGGTCCTGCTTTTTTCATAAAAAAGAGTGGTCAACGTAGATACACGTATCTTGTCTAAGGGAGGGATAAATCCTACTTTGTAAAAAATCACTCTGATTATCAAGATGCTTGATTTCTTTATTGACAACATATTTGTTACGTTTGGTTTTTCAACAAACAATCGGCATTCCAATGGGAACAATGGGAACAAACTGTGCCCCTCTTCTTGCCGACTTGTTCCTTTATTCATATGAGGCTGATTTCATACAGGATTTTCTTAGCAACTTTACTTTCCGCTATAAAGATGATGTTCTCTCACTAAATAATTCAAAATTTGGTGACTATGTTGAACGCATCTATCCCATCGAACTTGAATTAAGGATACACTAGATACAGTCAAGTCTGCCTCATATCTTGACTTACATCTAGAAATTGACAATTTGAAAACAAAACTTTACGACAAAAGAGATGATTTCAGCTTCCCAAATGTGAACTTTCTATTTCTAAGTAGCCACATTCCAGCATCGCCTGCATACGGAGTATATATCTCACAGTTGATACGATATTCCAGGGCTTGTATTTCCTATCATGATTTCCTTGATAGAGGGTTACTGCTCACAAGGAAGCTATTCAACCAAGAGTTCCAAGTTGAAATCATCTCTTCGTAAATTTTACGGTTGGTTGGCCATTACAGAATATCCGTTTCACAGATGATAGAGGAGATGTTCTAAATGACGCAACTACAATCCCGTCCCCTTTTCCCCGAATGTTACCAACCAAATTAGACTTATAACTGGGTTTGTAGTAACATGAGCAACACCACTGGAGCCACATGTTAAGCAGGATCTGCTTACCCTTCCGGAGCACCGGAGATCACCAAGTTCGTGTTGCCTTGTCTTTAGTTATCTATGTTGTGTTTTGTGTACTATTGTTTGTCTGTTGGTCTTTTTCTTTTTTAGCTATGGCGTTGTTAGTTTATTTTCGACTTATGAGTTTGAATGTCCCTCTGGTATCTTTCGTCTCTCTTTTGTGATCAGGACCGCTTTGTATCGATTGATTTAATATTCCAAAATGTCCATGGTTCTGGATATTGTCACACCGCAAACATCTGTTTATTGGAATACAAATATATTCTGAAGTGCCGTTTCAAAAATAACAAAAAAGTTATTGGTTAGAGTATTTAATGACAAAAGAGCTTACCTACATTGTTTATATTGTCCCCAATACCATAACGATCAAAAGCAGACCATTCCACATGTATGGGCTGAAACATATCTAGGACCGATCAAAGTTTTTTTTCTCGCGTTTGAATACTTTACATTTTGACATGTCAGGGTCGTTCACAGCTTACTATACGGTAAGGGTTTTGCCTATTGTTGAAAGCGGTACGGTGACCAAAAGTTACTTTTATCTACGTCATTTGTTCTCGGGTGATAAGTTATCTCTTTTGCAAGTATACATATCAAAATAAGAAGATGTGATATGATTGTCAATGGGACTCTACACCAGAGACATAATGACGTAGAAGTTAATTACTATAGGTAAACCCTATCCTAGGACAGTGGTGTATATTTCTGAATTAAACAGAGGGGACTGGTTATAAACAGATATGACAACATGTCTGGTCTAAAGCAAAACTGCACCATATTATCTTTTGACGACCAAATTATTCTCAAAGTACACATATTTCCAATTGAATGATATATGATATAGCCGTGTATTATTTTTGACGATTAACATTTTGTAATTCTGACTTTGGTCACCGGCCTACCTTTTTTGATTTGTATTTAGTA